TCTGGTTGCCTTGTTCCATGAGGTGCCACAGGGCTCAACAACATCTCTTCTAGATGGAGTCAGGGCAGTGATTTTCCACTTTTTTCATTTCATGACACACAAACTAATTACTAAAATTCTGTGGCACATCATATATATATATATATATATATATATATATATATATATATATATATATATATTTGGTGCCAACCTGACAAAAAAAAATAGGTATAATTTTGACTCATTCACACTGGACGGCTATTGTGTTGGCTGTTGTCATTTTTTTATTTGACAGTCTAAGGGAAAAGAGGTCAGTGCCCCTGACTGAATAGTCAGGTATTGCTTGTTTTAAAAATTCTTGCGGCACACTGGTTGAAAATTGCTGAGTTAGAGGAGCAGATCCTAAGAATTCTATTCTTGCAGAAATGTCTTCCTGGGTGGGTTATTTGGGGTGGACCTATTAGGAAACCAGTTTTGTTTTGCTTTTTTCTCCACCTCTTCCCTGTGCCCACATGGAGGCTGAGTGCCAAGGGTGTGAGTTGCTGGGTGGAAAGCTGGTACTAAGGGTACCACCCCGACAATGAGGGCAGAGCAGGAGAACTGGCAAGGTGATGATGATAGGAATCTCTGGTAATGGGGTGAGGAACTGCAATCATTAGCATGTAAAGGATAGCAGCAGCTGTAGAACTGGTCCCCTCCACCTTCCCCAGTGATTCCATCCCTCTCATCTGTCCTGGTTTTTGCTTTTCATCCTCTAGGTAGACATACATTTTCCTTTTCTTCCAAAAGAGTTTTCCTGGTATTTCCTTCCCTTTCAACTTACTGTAAGGTGGCTTCTGCCCACCCTGCCTTTCCACTGAAGCTGCCCCCTCTAAAGTCACCTCTCACCCAGTTTGCCGAACTCAATCTTACTTTTCTAAAGCTTTCGGTCCCCTTCACCATCTTCTCCTTGCCCTCCTGAGATTTCAGGACATAATTCTCCAGGTCTTCACCTACCTCTCTGACTGCTGTATCTTTTTCTGCTAGCTCCTTTGCCTTTGCCCAGTCTTTAACTGTTACTGTGTCCAGAGCTAATGCTACCCTCATGTGGCATCTTTGCAAGAAGTAGTAAAAAGGTGCACCATACTGATGGCACAGCCCCAGGTCAGGGTGCATGGCTTGGCAAGGAGAGCTTGAACCAGACTTCAGGCCCCATTCACTCCATTCAGCCTGGCACCCTCATGCCATGAACACCCTGTATGACTGCAAGCTGCTGCCCAGGGTGCTATTCTTAGTCCTCATCTTTCTTTGCTTTACTCTCTTTCCCTCTGCAAGTTTGTTGCTTTCATTATTCCAAGACCTCTGTGCTCTACTTAATCTCTAGACATCTTTTTTTTTAAATCCTCACCTGAGGACATTTTTCCATTTTTTGTTCGAATAGAGTGGGAGGGAGGGGGAGAGAGAAAAAAAACATCGATGTGAAAGGGACACCTCAAGTGGCTGCCTCATGCATGACCCAACCAGGGCTGGGGACAAACTGTAACCACAGTACATACCCTTAGCGGGAACCGAACCCAGGTCTCTCTGGACCACAGGCCGACACTCTAACCACTGAGCCAAACCAGCCAGGGTCTTTTTTTTTTTAATCCTCACCTGAGAATATTTTTTCATTCATCTTCAGACAGAACAGGAGGAAGAGAGGAAGAGACAGAGAGAGAGAGACAGAGAGAGAGAGAGAGAGAGAGAGAGAGAGAGAGAGAAACATCGACGTGGGAGAGATACATTGACTGATTGCCTCCCGCAAGACCCCGACCAGGGCTGGGGACAAACTGCAACTGAGGTACATGCCCTTGACTGGAATTGAACCCATGACTCATTGGTCCTTGGGCTGATGCAATAACCGCTGAGCCAAACCAGGGCTCTCTAGACATCTTTTAATCAGCCTTCTGGACTTCTCTTTCTGGGTGTCCCGTGAGAACTCCAAACTTGCCAAGGCCCAAACTGAATTTATTTCTACTCATTCGCATACTCCCAAACATGTCTGTTTTTCTGTATTCCCTCTCTTGGTGTATGACATCACCATCCATCCTCTCATTCAACTGCAAACTTCCAGATTATTGGTGCCTCTTCCCTTTCCACAGTTTAAGGCTTTTGTCATGTCCCAAAGGCACTACTGGAATAGCCTTCCTTTTATTTTTCTTTCTTTTAATTACATTTTTCCCATCACCATTTATCCTCTCTATGCTCTCTTCCACCTCCACACCCCCCGCACCTCCCCCTGCAATTGCCACATTGTTATCCATATTCATGAGTTCTCTCTTTTTCTTTTTTGCTCAATCCCTTCAACACACACCCCTACCCCTAACCAGAGCGATCCGTCTGCTCTCTATCTATGAGTCTGTTTCTATTTTGTTTGGTAGTTCAGTTTGTTCCTTAAATTTCACATAACAAGTGAAACCATGTGGTACTTGTCTCTCTCTGTCTGGCTCATTTCACTTAGCATAATATTCTCCAGGTCCATCCATGCTATTGCAAAAGGTAAACTGTTCTTCCTTTTTATGGCAGAGTAGTATTCCACCGTGTAAATGTACCACAGCTTTTTTATCCACTCATCTACTGATGGACACTTGGGCTGCTTCCAAATCTTGGCTGTTGTAAACAACACTGCAATGAACATAGGGGTGCATATATTCAAATTAGCTTTTCAGATTTCTTCCGATGAATGGAATAGCCTTCTAATTAGTATCCCTATCTCCAAAATGTCTCCCCTCCAAATCATTATCCCACTGCCACTGGGTTTCTTCATAGAACTGAACATATTCTCCTTTGTTTAAAAACTTATTTTGGCTTCTAATTAACCATAGACTAAAGTCCAGATGCTCAGGCATGGCATATAAAACCCTTCAAATCCTGACCCAAACCTACCTTTCCAGTCCTACACGTTGCCCCTGATCTCAACACCTTCCTTGCTTCTAACCACATCAAACTATGATGCACAGCCTCTTGAACATGATTTCACCGTGTGCTTTAATTCCTCTGTGCTTTTGCTGGTGCTTGGCACACATTTCTTCTGTTGTTGTTGTTGTTGTTTTGTTTTTCCTTGTAAAAAGCCCATCCACTCTTTAGGATTATGCTTACTTGTCATCTCTTTTTTTCAGACACCTCTGGCCCTAATTAACAGCTCTCTCCCTATTGTTTCTTCAACATTACTGGCATGCTAGTACAGGTTGTCCAAAGTTATTTTGCATCTTTTTCATTACATTGTGAGGTTCTTAAGGACAAGATTAAGCTTTGTTAGCCTCCATATCATCAGCAGCCTGCCCAGTGTCTAGTTTATGTTAGATACTGAATAAAATTTTATAAGTTAAATTGGGGCATGATGCTTGAATATCATTTTGTGAAAGAACCAATGGTTTCTTTCAGCATACTTTTCAGCCTGTTCCTTTTCTTCAGATAATCAGAAGAATCTCAGAATAGGACAGTTAATGGGCCCTGTTGGAGATATTTGCTATGTCACATCCCCATACTTTGGCTAGTTATCTCTAGGGACATAGAGACTATGACTTCTCAAATGACTGGTTGGTGTCTGAGTGTGGATTTTTGCAGATATTACAATTCCTCAGAACCAGTGAGGATTTTCAAATTAGGATCTAGATTCTAGGTTCCACAGAAGACTCTCACTATTCTGAAGAAAACAGTCAGAGTTTCCAATAATAAGAAAGATATATTTGTATTTGTTGTATCACCTGTGGGTCCCATACCAACATCTCACTAAGGGCTGAGATTTTAAAGCATGAGAAACAATATAAAAGGACTTCACAATCTCAAAATCTTGGAAAACAGCTGAGCTATCTTGGGGGGTGGGGGGAAATGGGGGCTCATTTGTGGGTTTTGTAGAGTGTCTGGCAAAACAGCATAGATGCTTAAGACTGACCTCTGTCATTCTCTTTCATTAAACCCCGAAGTACATGCTAGGCTGGGTAGGAGACACCAATTCCATGATGCCCAGGATGGATGTTTTCTTGCTGTTGATCTTCACCTGAGGGTATTTTTTCATTGGTTTTTAGATTGGGAGGGAGGGAGGAAGAGAGAGAAACATCTACGTGAGTGAGACACATCCACTGGTTGCTTCCCACAGGACCAAGACCAGGGCCAGGGATGGAACCTGCAACCCAGCTACATGCTCTTGACTGGGAATCGAACCCGTGACCCTTCCGTCGTCAGACCTACACAGTAACTGCTGGGCCAAACCAGCCCCGCCTGGATCGTTTTTCCTTTAATTAGCAGCTGCCTACCTGTAGAGCCGTGGGAGCAGCTCCTGAGAAGGTGGGAAAGAGCTTGGTGCCAATTTCTCCTTAAATACAAGAACTGGGTTCTGACTAGAATCCAAGCAACAAGTCGCCACTGAAAATGCAGTGATGGGTCAGCAAAGGCTGTCTCGGTACAGGAAGGGCCTCTGGGCCCTGGCCGGGGAGCTCAGTTGGTTAGAGCGTCCTCCGCACAAGTCAAGGTTTGGGTTCGGTTGCGGGCTCCATCTCGGGTCAGGGCACCTACAACAAGCAACCAATGGATGCACAACCGAGGGGAACAACAAATCCACCTCTCTCTCTCTCTCCCTCACAAATCAATAAATAAAATTAAAACCAAAAAACACCTCCGTTTAAAAGAGCCTTTGGGTACATTTTTGTGGCCGGTTAACAGGTGCTAAATCGTATGCTTAATCTGCGGCTCCTCAGCTCCCTCTAGGCTTCTGCAAAGGCTTCAGGGAGCCCCCTGCCCAGGGCGAGAGTGTCGGGGCTCCGGGCCGGCGAGGAAGCCCCTGGGCGCCCGACTCGAGCTGCCGGCGCGCAGGCAGCGGACTCGCCGGCCGAGGGCGCGGGCCCGGGAGCCGCGGGGCGGGGCCGCGGGCAGGACCGAGCACGTCAGCGGCCGCCCTCGCAGCCTCCCTGGAGCGGGCGGCCCGCGGGCGCTGACTCAGCAACGCGAGGGAGGAAGTTTTGTCCCTCCACGGACCCCGTTTCTGTCGGCGGCAGCCCTCCGCCGCCGCAGCACCCGTTTCCTCTTTCCGGCGCTCGGGTGCGAGAGGCCGGTCGGGACTCCGAGGCAGCGGTCCGCCGTGCAACCCGTGCGCTCGCCGGAGGCCGCCGAAGACGACCGCCCCCCAGCCGGGCTGCAAGGGCGCCATGACCAGCGCGGGTGAGCCGCCGCCCTCCTCGCCCCGGGCCTGGCCGGGGTCCTCCTCGTTGCACCGCTGGGACCCGGAGGCCCGGCAGCGGGCAAGGGCCGGGGCCGGGGCCGGGGCCGGGGGGGGGGGGGGACACGGAGCCCTCTGGGCCGGCTGCAGCGGCCTGCGGGGAGGCAGCATCTTGGGGGAAGACGCCGGTAAAGGGCTTCCCCACCGCCATGGTCACCCCCGCATGCTCACGCGAAGTTAGGAGGCAGGGTGTGGGTGTCCCGGATCAGCCCTCTTCAGCCCCTTTTTGGTGTTATCATCCCGTTTGGTCTTCCAACAGGGCTGAATTCGGAGAAGGTAGCTTCTCTGATTCAGAAACTGAATTCCGACCCTCAGTTCGTACTTGCCCAGAATGTCGGGACCACCCACGACCTGCTGGACGTCTGTCTGAAGAGGACCACGGTACAGGGTGCTCAGCATGTGTTCCAGCACGCTGTGCCCATGGAGGGCAAGCCAGTCACCAACCAGAAGAGCTCAGGTGAACCCTCAAAACTTCCTGCACACTTGACCTTCCTGCCAGGGTCCCATTTGAAGAACGGTCTTAGGGGGGCAGAGAATTGTATTGAAAGAACTGGTGGTAAATTTCTGGAGAATAGGTATAGGTAAAGGCAGGTTCAAGTATATAACTTGGTGACTTGCTTTGGTGCTCTCTGGCTTGTTAGTATTTTATTTGAGTACTAAGGTGACAAGTCCATGGTCATCTGTTTGAATTCATGATACTCTGTGCTATTGCATCCCCATGTGCTGGAGATATATGTAATTGGTACAGAACAGACCATGCAAAAATGTTCATTTCCTAGAGGACTCCCCCAAGTCGCCTCAAAGGCCGCATGTAAGTGTATAAAATGGAAAAGGCGCAATGTAGTTGCATCAACATGTCATTGAATGTTATCTTTAAATATGCTTCGAGGTTGCAACTTGAGCAAAAGTTGGCTCAGTTACACCAATAGACTAGTTTGTAATACAAAAAAAATCTTCAATTCTCATGTCTTACTGATCAAGAGCTCTTGTTTTCCTATCTGCTATCTAGCACTACTGTCAGCTACAGTGAAAGGAATCTAAATGAGGGGGACATTCACACAACAAAATTGTACTAAAAGGACTTTTTTTTAAAGTCCTCACCTGAGGCTATTTTTTCCATTGATTTTCAGAAAGAATGGAAGGGAGGAGGACGGAAGGGAAGAGAGAGAGAGACACATCGATTGGCAGCCCCAACCAAGGCCAGAGATTGAACCCACAACCCTTCGGTGCACAGGCTGATGCTCTAACCACTGAGAAACACTGGCCAGGACTAAAAGGACTTTTTAAAAGTCTATCCATTTTAAAACTACTCCTAGTCTATTTTGACAGACAGCAGATCGGTGCTTGCTTAGAGCCAGTCAGAACTCAAACTATACATTTAACATGGGTCTATTTTATTATATGTAAATTATACCTCAGTAAAGTTTTTTTTTAATTTTAAGGAAAAAATCATGACCTTGCAATAATTAATCTTTTGCTGCAGTAGAAATGCATGGGGTGATGTAGACTGTCAAGCTACAAATTATAGTTAGTAATATCACACTGGCCTTATATAGTTTAGATTGCAGTGGCCTCTTAGGGAAAAGCCTGGAAATGTTCATTTGGAAAAGATCAGGTCTTATATATCCTATAGTGTCACTGTTGTTTACAAATGATACAAATAGCACATGAGCTGTTTGTCGGCTATTTTCATGCAGTTTTTACATTAACAGCTCATGCAGATTCCTGCTCGTGAGAGAGGTGGCATACAGATAAACCCAAGGTAAAGATGAGGTAGACTAGGTCACTAATGACTCTCAAAAAAACCTTTAGTTACTTATTTTTAATTATTTTGTTTGTTTTGTTATAAAGTTAGTGTAGTTCAATGGTGAATATTTGAAAAATACCGACAAGTAAACATTTTTTTCTGTCAGGTCTTTATTCTGTGTGTGTGTGTATGTATAATATGGGTGGATACCTTAAATATTGTTAGGTAACCTGCCTACCTTTTTCACTTACCAATATATTGTGAACATATTTCATATCAGTAAAAGTTATGCCCAAATAAAGTTGTTGTTTTCTCCCCCCTCTGAATTTTCAGAAAAAGAGTTACTCTGTATTTGAGGCCTCACAAAAAGTCTCATAATGACCACTCTCAGTTCATTTATTTTGAAGTAAACTACAGTTTGACAAAGACATTATTCTGAAATGACCTCAGTTCGTGCTAGTTTTAGATGATTATAGAGTTCAATTGATTGGATCGGTTTTTTAGAAGGCAAAAAAAATTGAACACAGTATATTCCTGAATATTGTAAATAGGCCTTCTAAAATAAAGATTGCTTAAGTTAAGTACAAGAGATAGTAACCTTGTAGAGTCTGGGATTATCCACTTACAGGACAAATGGAGAATGTAATTGTATAGTTGAGGCATGGCATAAAATGTTCAGGGACAGCATCATGGATGGATTCAAGACATTGCTGGGACCCAGATGTACTAGATGGAAGAAAAGTGGTGTGCTCTGATTGAAAGAATGTATCTAATCATAGCAAAGGCTCTGATGCCTGGAGGCATGTGAAGAATTTTTAATTCTCTTTGGAAGAAGGGGAATTGATTTATGTTAGGGTTACCTTATGTTGAAGCATATACTGTATATTCCAGATTAAAAGGTAGGGTCTTTTTAAAGCTTTTACAACATATGGCCAAATTGCCCTCAGATATTTAGTATCTGTTTAGATCACTATCCAGAGTGTATCATGATACTATTTTCCCAAGTCCTTGCTAATGGGTATTATAAATTAAAAAGTAATATTTCTCCACTTAATAGGTATCTTATAATGAACTTAAACATTTTTTTTGGTCACCACTTGTATCTTTTCAGCCATTAAATTATCTATTTATGATCTCTGCTCATATTTGTCTGTCAGTATTTATCAGGGTTTATGTCTATCAGGGTTTAACTAATGTGATTTTCTTATGGATTTGTAATGGATTCTTCATGTGATATGTAAAGAGATTTTTTTATATGTTAAGAATGTTATACCTTTGCATATATATAGTTCAAATAGTAATTATTACTTTTCTTGTTTTGTTTTAATATTTCTGCTCTTTCTGATTTAATCTTAAATTGTCCAAGATCTCATAATGGGTCCATTGTTGGTAAATACAATGTAATCTATGTGAACATACATAATGATTTCTTGGTTTTTGCTTTCTTCTTTTAGGGCGATGCTGGATCTTTTCTTGTCTGAACGTTATGAGACTTCCATTCATGAAAAAATTTAATATTGAAGAATTTGAGTTTAGTCAATCTTACATCTTTTTTTGGGACAAGGTATAAGACTGATTTTGAAAGATTCTTTCTGTTTTACTGTCAGCCTTAGGAGAGACTATCTCTTCATTTATTGCTTTTCAAGTTGTAGTCCTACTTCCATTTATATGTGTGACACCATTTATTCTGATTTCCAAAGTATCAAAAGTTGACTTTTTCAAAGGCAGAACTGCTTTTGGTTGGTAAGTAGCTATGTTTTGCAGTGAAATAAGTCTACTGACTTACCCCACTGTTTCCTTGTTTCATAACTTATTTAAATTTTTTTATTTTGTTTTCAGTAATTTCTCCATTTAGCATCTATATTTAGGTTATTTGGTTTTTCTAGGATTGAATTCCCCTTCTCTGGGTAGTACTTGACTGCAAACATTAAATAATTTTATTCAATATTTTCAGTCTTTAAGTGACCATTAGATGTTTATTTATTGAAGGCTCTAAATATCAGATTTTATTTAAAAATAAAGCAATGCCTTGTTTTGGATAAACTATTGGAATATGTACACACAGATATAAGAAGAAACTAAATATTTTTGTGAGGCTAGGTACTGATAATTTAGTTACCTACTTTAGTTTAAAAATACCAACTATGTACACCTGAAACGAATATAATATATCAATTGTGCCTCAATTTTTTTTTAAAAAGCCAAAAAAAAAACAACCCTACCTGAAACTAATATGTCAATTATATGTATTCAATTAAAAAACAAACTACTATGTTGGGTCTATAGCAGTTTCATGACTCCTATTAATAATGCAAATAAAAATATTAGCTTTCTTATATAACTTTCTACTCTAGGTTGAACGTTGTTACTACTTCTTAAATGCTTTTGTGGACACAGCCCAGAAAAAGGAGCCTGAAGATGGTAGGCTGGTGCAGTATTTGCTTACAAATCCTGCAAATGATGGTGGACAATGGGATATGCTTGTCAATATTGTTGGTAAGAGCCTTTCTCTAATGGAAATGAAACGGCATGATTAAGCAAGGCTCTGTAGTTGGGCTCTGTAGTTAGACATGTTATGTACAGAGTAGAATTAGTCTCCCAGAAGGTTATATAGTTAGCTGTAAGAACTTTTATATCACATGTATCTTTTTTTTTAAGTCCTCACCTGAGAATATGTTGTTATTGATTTTTAGAGAGAAAGGAAGGGAGAGAGAGAAAGAGAGAAACATCAACCAGTTACCTCCTGTACATGCCCTGATTGGGGATTGAACCTGCAACCTAAGTATGTGCCCTGACCAGTAATTGAACCTGCACCCATTTGGTGTATGGGATGATGTTCCAACTATCTGAGTCACTCATCTACCTTTCTTAAATGAGAGGTGAGGAGATAGGTACTGTGAAGGGTGAGTTGGAGAAGAAAGAGCTGTATTAACTAGAACTAACTTGCTATGAAAAAGCTCATCTTTTGTCCATTGGTGTAATCAAGAAACACATTGAAAATGTCCTCATTCTAAAAAGTGTTTTCTTTTGGGAAAACCTCATCATGCTGAGCACTTTACAAAGTATGATAGATGAATAGAATTAATTCTAAGGTAGATGGAAAAATATGGAGATTAAATAGGCAGTTTAATTTTATGAAGCATAAGATTGTTAAGTTTCTGAATTAGACCAACAAAATATGGCCTAGTTTTTAAATCAATAGCTATTTTTGCCAGGAATGCTGGAGTTTACTTTTACCTATTGAACGCTAACATTTATTTATTTTTGTAGAAAAATACGGTCTTATTCCTAAGAAGTGCTTCCCTGAATCTCATACAACAGAGGCAACCAGAAGGATGAATGATATTCTGAATCACAAGGTACAACATACGGAGCAGGGTGGGATTGAATTTACTGTACTTACCTTAAAACTTCTGACTTTCCAAGGGGATTTCAGCATTTCAGTATACACAATTAACGTACAAGATAGCCAGTTTTCTTCAAAAGAAATGTAGCTACATATTAACTTTAAATTGGGGGTGGGGGTGGGGGGTTTCCTTTCAAAAAATCTTCCGCTTTTATTTCTATTGATTTTAATATTTTCATCCGGGTACTCAGGAAAGAAAGTCCTACGTTCAATTAATATGGGCCAGAAGCACACTGGGTACTGTGCCTCTTACCTGGCTTTAGTGGAGGTGGGCTGGGACAGTTCTACGTACTAATAAAACCAAAAAGAACTATCTGTGAGACTTCCTTAAAGAGTATGCTGAGCCCTGGCTGGTTTGGCTCAGCAGTTGGAGCGTCGGCCTGCGGTACAGAGAGACCCGGGTTCGGTTCCCGCTAAGGGCACGTACCTTGGTTGCAGTTTGTCCCCGGCCCTGGTTGGTTGTGCGGGTGGCAGCCACTCGATGTGTCCCTTCACATCGATGTTTCTCTCTCTCTTTCTTCCTCTCTCTCCCTCCCGCTCTATCTGAACAAAAAATGGAAAAATGTCCTCGGGTGAGGATAAAAAAAAAAGAGTATGCTGAGTTCAGAGGACTTGTCATCACTAGGAGAAAGATTAGATTTTAAAATAAACTGTAGGTATGTTTCCCCAATATTAGAAGTTGGTTATTTTCCACCCAGGAAATGCTGTGGATTCTTAGCCACAGGCTAAACGATCATTAATCATATAGCACTGGGTTTCATTTCAGATGAAAGCAAAATCCTGTTTAACATCATGGTTAGATTTGAGACTTACCTTTATCTTTGGCATCTCTAAAAATTGAAGACAACAAAAATGAAAACTATGTTGAGGGTTGGCATAGCCATACTCATAATAATTTGGCAGGGAAGTAGACAATCAGTGAATATCTAAATAAAAATCTGTGAGAGTGACTCAGTGGCAAAGGGAAGTAGATTGGTTGGGGAAAAACACATTTGCTTTTATGAACTTTGCCCTGGGTCTTAGCTTAGATATGCTTCAAAATAGACCTAGTGTTGTCTGTTAGGCTCATTTACAGTTGAACTGGGGTAAATATTGTGGTACTGAATAACTTTCTGTCATAGATGAGAGAATTCTGTATACGACTACGGAACCTTGTACACAGTGGAGCAACCAAAGCAGAAATCTCAGTCACACAGGATGCCATGATGGAGGAGGTAATAACAATTATTTGGATTTTTTATGACCCTTCTAAAAAACTTTCAGAGCATTCCCATCTGTTAAACTGTTTAAGATGTATAGTCACTGCAATACATATTCAATTGAATGGAAATTTACTTATTTTACAGTGTAAAAACTGAGGTAAAAACGTTGTGTTTTAGTATGGGACTTGTATGTACTTCCATCTTCTAATTACTAGTGTGGTAGTCTATATAATGTATTCTTTTATTCATTTCATAAATATTGAATACCTCCTGTGGATACAAAGATGTGGATACTGGGGATACAAAGATGAGAAACACAACCTCTACTCTCAAGGAGCTCAATCTCTTGGGAAAAAGAAAAACATGAATAAATTCTAAACCCTATGCTAGAGGTGTGTGAAAAAGGATTTACTGGTCAAAGAGGAGGGGGTGACTGATTCAGTCAGCTGAAGTTTTCATGGGGGAAGGTATTTGAACCAGCTCTTGACAGAGCAGTAGAATTTACCAGATGAATAATAGGGAAGACCATTCTAGATAAAAGTAATAGCATGAACAAAGGTGGAATTCTGAGAGAATAGTGTATCTGAAACATAAATTTTGTGAGTGTGTTTGGTAGCAAATTAAGGTAGAAAGGCAGAGCTGTGAGGGACTCTCAGGAGATACCAAGACTTTTGGCTTTATTCTGTAGGAATAAAGATGAGAATGATGTACATATAATAATGTATTGATGGTTATATCAGTAAACTTTGCAAAACCTAAAAAGCATTATATGAGGTGGTAATATTTATCATAAAGGCGGTTAAGAATATTACTTAAGCACTGGTTGGTGTGGCTTAGTTGGTTGGAGCGTTGTCCCATATACTGAAAGGTTGTGGGTTCCATTTCCTGTCGGGGCACATATCTAGGTTGCAGGTTCAATCCCCTATCAGGGGCACACGGGAGGCAAACCAATCAATGCTTGTCTCTCATTGATGTTTCTTTCCCTTCCCCTCTCTAACAAATCAATAAGCATATCCATGGGTGAGTATTAAAAAAAAAGAATATTACTTAATACCATCTATAATCCAGATCAATATGCCTAAACCTCTGAAATTGCTTTTAAAAAAATAAACATTTCCCTTTTTCATCTAGAGGACTCTACTAGGAATCACTCAACTAACAATTTCCGTTTACTGCAATGGACAACACGTATTTTCCTTTGAATTTTAGAGAGGAAGTATAGTGTATTTGAAAGCATGATCTAGAGTCAAACTGTCTGAGTTCTGAATCTCTCATAACCAACAGCCTTTGTCAGGTTTGTTAAACTCTCAAGTCTCAGTTTATTCAAATGCATAGCCCATGCTTAACACAATAGCTCTTTCTTAAGTATTTGTTGAATGGATGAACGCAGAGATTTCATTTTGCCAAATGCATTTAAATTATCTCATACTCAACTCTTTCTTTACTTAAATGTTCTTATTTAAGAGAGGAAAAAATAGAGGGACCTGGGTTTCAATTCTGGTTCTGTCACTTAATAGCTCTGATCTTGGGTGAGATACTTAACCTGTCTAAAATGCGGTTTGGGACTTAAAATATATTTCTCATGGGATTTTTGTGGGAATCACATAAGAAATTAAGTAAAAGAATGCACGGCATAGTGCCTGGCACATAGGGGTTGTTCAGTAAATGTTGGTTCTTTTTTCTTCCTGCTTGGAATGATTTCTCTTGTTGAGGCTGTATCTCTTGCATAATTTGCTTTCATTCATGATTATAGTAAGATGGTGGGGCATAGTAAGGATGAAGTTTCAATAAACAGTTATAGAATAGGACCCAGATAATACTTCTTAAAGATCGTAAGCATCCTGTTGGCTTTTGATGTTTGCTTTAATGATTTTTTTTTTTTTTTTATCCTCACCCGAGGACATTTTTCCATTTTTTGTTCAGATAGAGCGGGAGGGAGAGAGAGGTAGAGAGAGAGGAAGAGAGAGAGAAACATCGATGTGAAGGGACACATAGAGTGGCTGCCACCCGCACGACCAACCAGGGCCAGGGACAAACTGCAACCGAGGTACGTGCCCTTAGCGGGAACCGAACCCGGGTCTCTCTGTACCGCAGGCCAACGCTCCAACCGCTGAGCCAAACCGGCCAGGGCTGCTTTAATGATTTTTAAAGGATATATCTAAGATCCACTCCTGCCCATGAGGTTGGCTGATAAGAATTAGGACAGATGTGTTTCACATATCTTTCCTCCCATACTCCTATTATTTTTCTTACCTTGGAAAAATAGTAAGGCATCATTATACCAAATGCTGGCTATGGATGCTTTTAGGATTATTTACTTAATGATTCTGCCTAAACTGTTTACAGAGTTCTGTATAGTAGATTTTTAGAGTTTACAGTCTTCCAAATGACTCCTCTTTATTGAACCCGACTCTTTGGTAATGAGAAGTGTAGCTATGATTTTAAAGCCACAGATTAGTACCTATGATATGCCTAGACTTGTAGGCATATCCAAGTGATGAGTTATCAATAGTCATGATGTTTGGAAAGCTTTGAATGAAAGGGTTTTATGCCTAAGGCATTCTTTCTGAGGGAAGAGAGTACAGGTTGCTTGGTGAAGTGACAGACAAGTCAGATCTGTTTTGGAAATGTGTTGTCACCTCTATTGCACTGTTTTCTCAATGCATCTAATCTTTCTTAGCCTTCGGATCCCCTTTGGATTATTAATGTATTCTCTACCAAAACTCTGTTAAAAACAAAACGTAAAGACTAGAAAGAATATCTGTCAGTGCCATGAAAAGAGACAAAAAGCCATTATTATTTGCTTAATAATGAAATTTTATAGCAGTGGTTCTCAGCTCTTAAAAGCATTATAGAGTCCTAGACTGACTCCAAACCTAAAAAATTGATTTCCCTGAGAAAAGCCTAGTTATGTATATTTATATATTTTTAAGACTTCTTTGATTTAAAAAACATTTTTAACATCAAAATATGAAAAGGCGCCCTGGCCGGTTTGGCTCAGCGGTTAGAGCGTTGGCCTGTGGTCCAGAGAGACCCGGGTTCGGTTCCCGCTAAGGGCACGTACCTTGGTTGCAGTTTGTCCCCAGCCCTGGTTGGGTCGTGTGGGTGGCAACCACTCGATGTGTCGCTCTCACGTCGATGTTTCTCTCTCTCTCTCTCCCTCTCACTCTATCTGAACAAAATATCGAAAAATGTCCTCGGGTGAGGATAAAAAAAAATATATATGAAAAGGCATATGGTGAGAAGTGTGTTTCCCGCACTGTTCTCCATCCTTTAAGTTCCCACATACCCCAAATCAGTTTTATTAGTTTGTTATCGTATTAGCAGTTAGTCATCCTTCCAGAGATTTTTTTTTTTTTTTTAACAATCCAACACAAGTGTATATTATTTTACGCCTCTAGTTGGGGCACAGATGTTAGTATATCATACATATTCTGTGCAGTGCTGTTTTTTTAATCCTCATCTGAGGATATGTTAATTGATTTTAGAGAGAGAGGAATGGTGAGGGAGAGAGAGGACCATCAGTATGAGAGAGAAACATCAATCAATTACCTCCCATATGCACTCCAACCGGGGATCACACCCCAAACCCCTTGGTGTACAGGACAACGCTCCAACTGGGCCACCCGGCCAGAGCTGTACAGTGCTGGGGTTTTTGTTTGTTTTTGTTAATCCTCACCAAAGGATTTTTTTCCCATTGATTTTTAGAGAGAGTGGAAGGGAGGTGGGTGGAGAGAGAGAGAGAGAGAGAGAAACATTGATTGGTTGCCTTCCACACAAGCCCTGACTTGGCCCAAGGTTTGAACCTGCAACACAGGTACATGCCCTTGACTAGGAATTGAACCCAAGACTCTCAGGTGCACTGACTGGTGTTCTAACCACTGGGCCATACTGGCCAGGGCTGTACAATGATGTTTTCAATTTAACAACATATCTTGGAAATCTTTCATGGGAAAATTTTGATAATATTGATACATAAAGAACTTACGCATTTAAAAAAATATTCGCATGGTATTCCATTGTCTGGTCATACCATCATTAATTTAACTGGTTCCATTTTAAGATAAATCCTGGTTATTTTCAAACTTCTATTTTTAAAAAACTGCAATAAATTATCTGTACATACATCATTTTGCATATGTATGTTTATACCTATAGGTTATATCTCTAGCAGTAGAATTGTTTAAATTAAATTTAATGGGGTTACATTGATTAATAAAATTTTATAGGTTTCAAGTGTACAATTCTATAATACATCATCTATATATTGTATTGTGTATTCACCACCTAAAATCTAGTCTCCTCTGTAACCATTTATCCCTCCTTTGCCCTCTTCTATGAGGGCACTGCCCTTTGCCTCTGATAATCACCATACTGATATCTTTGTCTATGAGTTGTTGTGTTTTTTGTTTTTTGGGTTTTATTTTGTTTTTGTTTCTTGTTCTTAATCCCTTCACTTCTTTCACCCAGCCCCCTCCACTCCTCCTTCCCCAACAGCTGTCAGTCTGTTCTTTGTATCTATCAGTGTGTTTTTTATTTGTTTCTTTTTCCATTTATCTGTTCATTTGTTTGTCTACATATAAGTGAAATCATATGGTATTTGTCTTTGACTGGCTTATTTCACTTAGTGTAATACACTTTAGGTCCATCCATGCTATTGCAAAAAGAAAGATTTCCTTTTTTACAGCCAAGTAGTATTCTCCCATGGTTTTTTATTCACTAATCTATTGATGGGCAGTTGGGCTGCTTCCAGATCTCGGCTATTGTAAATAACCCTGGTTGGGGTCATGCCAGAGGCAACCAATCAATGTCTCTCTCACATCGATGTTTCTCGCTCTCTCTCCCTCCCTCCCTCCCCCTTCCTCTCTATCTAACAAAAAAAAAAAAATCAATGGAAAATATCCTCTGGTGAGGATTAAAAAAAATAAAATAAAACTGTATGATCCAGCAATTCTACTTCTGGGTGTTTACCTGAAGAAAACAAAAAACATAATTCAAAAAGGCATCTACAT